TGACTGCCGTCCACCTCATGCCCCACACCTGATCTTCCCCTACTTTAACCTGCACATCTTCCACCATCAGCAACAGATGCTGCTTCCCTGTCAAATGCCCTACAAAGCAAATTGCACAATTTTAATCCTATGTGTAGCCAGTATTAGAAATTGGATTGAGAAGATAAGATTAGATTATGCCTGCAGGATTTTGGAGAAAAAAATGTAAAAGCCTCATTTAAGCTTTAAAATAATCTCCGTTCACTCCCAGAGAGCAGTGGGCTCAGCCCAGCAGATGCCAGATACACTTTCTTTTTACATGTTGTCTTTTTCTTTCTTCTCTGTTTCCACTAATGTGGTTGTCATGACCGTAGAATTGTCTGTGGTGACAGTCTGCCAATAGAACAGAGTGAAGGTGTTTATAAGGAAAAAAACATTTGTATGTTTGATTTTGGTATTTGGTCATTACTCTGGTGTTAATACCAACAGTTAGTCATAAAAGAATATATTTTTGATTTTTTTCTGCTGCTCTACTAGTATTCTCTACTAAAATTAATTTGTTTACTCTGTTTATTATCTGTTTACTCTGCAAATCCAAAAAGAAACGTTTTTTTTTTATTTGAGACCAGCTGATCTGTTAATATGTTTGTGTCACTCAGGTAAAACCTAAATAAAGCACTGAAAGCATCAAACTTTCCAAATAGCACAGATGAAAACGCCTGATAGAGAAAGCAGTGAATTAACCGTTGTCATTATGAAAACATTTCTTTTCAAGAACTTTGGTTTAGGTAAGTGAAGAGTTAAATACTGGAGTTCTGCATCAGAACATGCTGTCTAATAGTTAGTTAAAGCTGGAAAAATACCCTTAAGAACCTGAAAATCCCTTCTATATGAGTGTAGGAGCCAAAATGAGCTTTATGTTAATTCTCATCTGTCTTTGTGTATTGTATATTAGTCTGTGTGTGGGTGTTTGTGTGAGTGCGCGAATGATCATATGTGGTCACAGGTGTGTCTACCCCCACCTAGAGGAATACTGGAGACTACAGGTGAAGCCCAAGGGGAGGGCTTAAAGGGCAGAGGTTACAGCATCTGGACGTGGCTGAGGGGGCAAACAGTCCCTTGATCGTGCATGCTGCTCTGTTTCACGTGGAATAGCCATATAAAGACTCTCAGATTAATTTGTTTGTTTTATTTTGCATTTAAGTTATCTGTAAACCAAAATTTGTTACAATAAATGGTCTTTGGACAAACTTGAACATCAACTTATATCCATCATCTTTCATCTGCATGTGTCAAGAAAAATCCAACTCAGTCACCAGTAGTAGCCAACCAGGGAACAAAAGGGGAAAACTCTAATCCTGTATCATCTATACAGCAAAGCTCTGCACTTACAGGGAACTGCCTTCTGTTCCAAAGAAATCTGACCTGGACCAGATGACCTGGTATCCAGTCCCTGAGGTCATGACACAAAACTCAAAGTGCTACAGTTGTATGTTTGTGAAAACATATTTCTCTAACTGCACGTTTTCAAAGATGGAGCAAAGACTTACATGGAAATTTCTATAGAGGTTGGTAATTTCAGAGTAACTAAATCTGATGGATACCATTAAATTATAAAACTCACATAAGCATTGGTTAATTGTTCATTTCCACCCCTTTTAAAAGCATAATTTGTTATTCATACATCAAACCACCCCAACAACAGCTGAGCTGTGTGTGCGGTTCCCTTCATGTCCTATAGCATTATGATGCTGGTGTCAACAGACAGCATGGATTGAACCCTTCCTCATTGGTCAGTACCAAGAGCTGTCAACAGTCCCAAGAAGTGTGAACAATATGAACTATGGTCATGGAGCTTGTTGCAGACATACAGTATTTACATTATTTTCATTTTACTGATTGGCCGGAGAATTTGTCACATTTGTTTAAATACAGGTGTTTACTTTTTTACGCCAGTTTGACTGCCGTCCACCTCATGCCCCACACCTGATCTTCCCCTACTTTAACCTGCACATCTTCCACCATCAGCAACAGATGCTGCTTCCCTGTCAAATGCCCTACAAAGCAAATTGCACAATTTTAATCCTATGTGTAGCCAGTATTAGAAATTGGATTGAGAAGATAAGATTAGATTATGCCTGCAGGATTTTGGAGAAAAAAATGTAAAAGCCTCATTTAAGCTTTAAAATAATCTCCGTTCACTCCCAGAGAGCAGTGGGCTCAGCCCAGCAGATGCCAGATACACTTTCTTTTTACATGTTGTCTTTTTCTTTCTTCTCTGTTTCCACTAATGTGGTTGTCATGACCGTAGAATTGTCTGTGGTGACAGTCTGCCAATAGAACAGAGTGAAGGTGTTTATAAGGAAAAAAACATTTGTATGTTTGATTTTGGTATTTGGTCATTACTCTGGTGTTAATACCAACAGTTAGTCATAAAAGAATATATTTTTGATTTTTTTCTGCTGCTCTACTAGTATTCTCTACTATTGGTTGTTGAATAATCCAGTAAATAAAGATCTAATGGAAATGGTGATTGAATACTGACTTTCTATGTAACTGGACTTTGTGTCAGGATTCCCAGACCTTTGGACCCAAATGCAACACATTAAGGCAAAAGCTCTTTCCAAATGTTTATTGCAGGATCAGCCGGTATAAATACTGTGCCAATACTTCTTAAACTGAAGGAGTCTTTCAACAAAGGAATCTCCACTTGAAATAAAAGGAAGTCTCTCAAATAAACGTGGAGTATAAACAGGCGTCTTGATAATTAAAGAGTCTTTAAACAAAGGAAGTCTCCGCTTGGAGCAAAAGGTCTCTTGAAAAAACGTGATCTATGCTTAGAGATCCAATGACTGCCGCAGCTACTCTTACTTGCTAGGGAATCCCACGGGAGTGACGTCACCGCGGCGGATTCCCTCTGGACAGCGGAGCCAAGTCAGGAACGGAACGGCTGAGCAGTTCTGCAGGAACTCTCCTCAAAAAAACGGCAACCTCGTCCACAGAGCCGATGAGACTGGCCATGGATCGTCATGACAGGTAACTGTAGGACTGCAGGGAATCTCCACAACTAGAACTGGAACAGGAACGAGAACGTGTAGCCTCGGTGAACGGACAAGACGATCTGGCAGCGGGGAGTGTGTGGCTGCCGGCTAAATAAACTGCTCC